AGGTATGGGTGTTAACATCTTTAAAATGGCTCTTAAGGTCTATACTGACTTTGGGCAGCAAGTTTGTTACCAGGCCCAGATAGTATGGCTCCTAAAAGAGACAAGGGTCTGCACAAGCCTGAACTTCTGAACCTTGGGATAAAATGGTAAGTTCAAGGGAGAAAATGTGGTAGACACTTTGAGAAGGCTGTACCTTCCTAGTACCTCAGCCCATGGGGAAAGGAAGAGGGCATTACACAGCTGAGAGTTAGGATAAAAGGGAGGCTGCACCCTCTGAAACCCCGAGTGAGAGAGGGAAAACCCCGTGGGTGTTTGCCCCAGTGAACTCTCTCCCTTTATTTGAATAAAGTTGAAGGATTCCTCTGTCTCCTTTTTGGACATAAATCTCTGGTGTTTGCGGATTTTCCTGACAGATGGGTATTTGGTTTAATTTGAGATGATCGTTGGTTAAAATAGATTTCCTCAAAGCATGCAAACTCTTCTACAAATAGGAAAGTAAAGGCAATATATCAAAGTAACTGCTGTTTTATGGGCTGCCAAATCAAAAGTTGTCATGTAAACTGTGGTCTTTTTACAGCAATAATAATAAATATTTTTGATTCACACTATGCTTTTTACCTCAAAGGATGTTCAGGTAGTTTTGTAAATGCAGACTTGAAATTTAGCCAAGAGCTGAACAGCAAAATAATCAGATAGGATCAGGTATCAAGTTTCTTGATACAATTTGGTAATTCTTTGAGCAGATGGATTAAATTTTAACTAGAACTGGGAAGAAACTGTTTTCTTCTTGGAAAACTTGCAGGTCAAAACCTTTCCCTTTTCACCCCAATGTGATTACCTCTGCAGCTTTGAAAGGAGAGACCATCCCTCTGCAACCAACCTGTTCAGGGCCCTCTCCAACAGTATGGATAATCTGGCTTCTAAACTTACTTGATCACTTTAAACACCTAAGTGACTGTCTTTATTCTTTGTGGTGCAAGTGTTCACTTTGACCTAAATGAGCTTATAAAACTACTACAACTCTTTGTGTTAGTATTAGTATTAGTACTAGTACTAGTATTAGTACAAGTATTGTAAGGTAGTTCCAGGGTGCTCAGCCACAGACCAGGTCATTTTCTCTCTGTCAATCTGTTCAAAGTGGCCAAAACACTAGTGAAGGAGCTCAAAAATGAGCATCACAGCAGTAGTTTTTTGATCTGGATACTCTCCTGAGAAGAAAAATACTAATAGAATTCTTCTGCTTCCTGTGTGAGTACAAGGTCTGCAGCCAAGGAGGAAGCAGGACTGTCTCTAGCTGCCTTTTGTTTAGTAGAACATTTTTCTCCCTTAGAAACCTGACTAAAACTTCTCTAGGCATCAATCAAATCATCACTGTTATCTTCCCACAATTTTTCTTTTTGAATAAAGTTTCATGGATTAAGGAAGAAAATTGTGTCAGCAAATAATTAAATTTAAAAAACAAACAAAAAACCTGATAGTTCCAAAATATTAAAACTGTTAGAGTTCCTTACCTTTCATTTAGGTAACATTCAACTTTCTGCTTTCTAAATATAGTATGAATTATTCTCTCTGCTTTTGCTGTGTTAGGAAGAGCATTGATGCTTATATGATCTATGTGACCAGTGACAGACAAAATAATCCCTTGAAAATATTTTATACTTGGATTATTTTCCTGCTTTCTGTTGGAGAGGCAGTTACATGATGAATTTCAGTAAACTGCATGAGCAGTCTTCATTGCAGCGGCTTTGAAGTGCCTATAAAGAGCAACAACTCTTTTAAATTCTAGAACTATTGCCTATACCTTTCATGTCAGAAAGAATTATTGGTGTAAGTGTTGGAAATGTTGTTTGTAAGTAGTTGTTTTTGTTTCAAAACAATGACTTATTAAAAAAGCCCAACAAACCCTCATTGCTAGAAGCTGTTTCTTAATGAACTTGTCTTATATTTTTGAAAATCCAAATAAATAATAAAAAAAAAAAGTTAACAAAAAAAGCTCTGTTTGGCTGAGGTAGAACTAAGGGGAATTTAAATTAACTGCTGGAGTTCAGTAGTCATTCTCTTCCATCCTTTGAAGAGAGAGGTTTAAAAAAGTGCAGCATTTCTATCTGACTTAAGCTTTTGTTGAGAAAACAAGGAAGGGCTGAGGTTTATACCTTAAACATGATCACATTTGTTGATGTTTTGTAAACCTTTAGGTGCATTGAGAAAGCTTTTAGTAAACTGTGTCCTGGATATTATTTTGTTGGTATTCTTGAAGTCTAGTGTTTCCAGGTGGTTTCCATCCAGACCAATGCACAGCTTGATGCATTTATGTGGAATTTATGTTTATTCTTTGGAACATAAAAATTGGATCATTTCAATAGCACATTTATAGTTCTAATGTGTATTACAAGAAAAAGAAAGAGTTGCACAGGTTTTTGTGTACACGAATCATTAAGATGATGATAGTGTTTTCTTAGATGCCTACTCATAAAACTTTGGCTTGCAGCTGGCCTTCTTGTGAAAACTTTGCCAGCCTTGACTATAAATTTGTCTGTTTTTAGGATTTGCCTGCCTTTTTCAGTGGATTGCTTGCACATGCTCTGAGTCAACATTTCTAAGCACTACTAGTTAAAAAACTACAGAGATGAGTTTACAAACCATGTGATAAACAACAAGGAGAGGGAAGAGTTTGGAAGTGTGTGTGTGCATGTATGACCATTTTGTTCAGCTTATCAGCATTACTGCTAAATTACATGTGTTTTCCCATGTCCTTCTTTACTGATAATCTCTAGTTCTGTGCTCTCAGTTGGGTTTCTAGACACCTGCTGTTTACATAAGTAGCAGGTGATTGATGGTGTAATGTATTTGGGTTGATTCATTATATCTTGAATTATTAAAACACACTGCTTCTGTTTGAAGAGCTGAAATCTGAGCACAATTTGCTGCAAGTCAGAAATCCCCATGAGTAAGAGGAGCCACAGAAACTGGTTGCAGCATAGCAGGGAATATAGGGAGCATCAAAGGGTAGATAACAACAAAATCTAACCCTTTATTGTTTTTTTGTGTGCTACCTCCTACACAGAGACTTGACAGCTACAGCTGGCTTATTGATTTGGTAGTCTCACACTAATTGACTGCTGGCTTTGATAGGGGAGCCTCTAACCAGTTGAACTCTGAGCAGGCACGTAGGTAATTTGCCAATGAGAGTGTTTGGAGGAGGAGAAAATTCTTGGGTGCACGCCTCTCAGATCTGGCTCCCTGTAAGATGTGAGGCTTGGTGTGTGTGCTGTCACAGGCAGATACTCAAGAGCAGCTAAGAGTGAGCTCGAGTGCTCTGCTTCCACGAGGGAGAGAAAGGCAGCTGCTGAAAGTACAAGCTGGCAGGATCATGACAGACCCAAGTGGCAGAAAGGAAGCATTTAAAAAATGCCGGAGTGCTACATTCAGTATTGATGGCTATAACTTTACAATTGGTGAGCCTGATTTAATTTATCTTCTTTCATTTAGTTTCTTTCCTTTCTTTCTTAGTAGTTCCAGTAAATACAGGTAAAAGACAGCTGTTGCCAACTGCTGTTTGTCAATATATGCCTCTAAAATGTACAGATGCCCTGAAATTTTTGCCATTGGTTTTGCAATGTATTTTCTTTTGCCCGAGAAACTTGCCTTTGATATGCAGCTGCTCTAGATCCTTTTGCTGGGTTTTGGCACAGGTTCACTGAGATGTTTGCAGTACTTTTGTTTTGGAACCTTACCTCAGGAAAGCCTGGGCTCCAGGATTGCAGGTTTCCAGCAAGCTAGCTGCATTTCCTTCCTATTGAGCCCAGAATGTCATCCTTGTGAACCTTGGCTTTCTTTGCAATATTTTATTGTTTACTTAGCCAGTGTTTTCAATTTCTCTAATCTTTTGTCATTTCTCACTTTGCACAAAGATATATATGTAACAAACACAAGAAGTAAACACAAGAAGTAAAATTACTGAGGCAATGAGAAATATTGAGGAAATACTAGGAATTTTAGGATGGATTGCTGTAGTTGTTTGGAGAGTGCTGTTTCATGTTTATGTTTGCTGTCTTGAGGAAAAGTGAGGCCTCTCAAAGTGAAAGGGCTGTTTACAATAGACTTGGTATACAAAATTTGAGGGTTCTCTGAGCAGACTGCTTTGCTACAAATGCTTATCTTACTAGGGTATGTATATATATATGTATCCCTACACATATCCACATAGGTCTTAGAAGCAAAGCAAGCTTACATCTCATTTGAATTTTTAGATTAAGTCCAAATTAAAGTATATGGAAAACTTATTTGTAATAATCAATAGAAATTCCTGTTGAATACCTTTAAGAAGACAGAGATCCCACTTCCTTGCCATTGTGAAGTCAGGAAAGATTTTCCTGGGTGATACTGACATAATTGGTCCAGAACTTCATCTAACAGTGATGGATACAAGCTTTTATTGGTGTGGAAGGAGATACCTGTTTAGTCCTCTGATTCATGGAGAATTTGTTTTGCAATCATTAACATCATGCAAACATTAAGCTTGTTTAAAAGAAAAATGGAGAGATATGTTTCATTAAAATATTTTTACATAGTTAAGATATCTTAAGTATCTGTTAATGTTCACATAGCACGCTAAAGGTGAAACTGCCAGGCCAATGCTACTTTTGAAATTTCTTTCTCTACTGGGAAGGCCCTCCACAGGTTGTTGCAATGCGCTCACTTTTGCACCCCCTATTTTAATCTCTTCCACTCTCAGCATCATTATTAGCAGTGGGGTTTTTATCAGTTTGTGTCAGTCTGGTGGATGAACATTTTCTTTTCTTTTTTTTTTATTTTTTTTATTTTTTTTGTTTTTTTGTTTTTTGTTTGTTTGTTTTAAATTCAGGAACACACCAATAGGAGTGCTGGGCTTGTTGCTCTGCTGTCTTTATTGCTAGTCATGCTCACAATACAGACTAATTTTAAGATCAAATGACTCAGGGTTTAGCACTGAAGGTTGCCTTGGTTAATCAAAATTCTTATTGTATTTCATATCTATCCATGCCCCAAAAATTGTTAGTGTGGTATGTTTGGAAAAGGGATCTTGGGGCAGGCAGATGTGGTACACTTTGAAAGGTTGAAGCATGCAGGCAGAGTCCCCTTTTTCATCTTTTGTTTTGCTTTCTCATGTCTTGCCACGCTACTTGGCTTTCATCTTAAAGCTGAGGTAGTGTGAGAAGAGACTTCCCTTTTGGGTTCTTTTGTGTGGCATTTTGCTTAAGGCAGAGGTTGTTTCGAGGGGAGGAGGAAGCAGTTCTGGGCACACAGAAAAACTGCATTTCTGCTATCAAAATATCTTTCAGAATGAACTTTGCAAACCTCTATTGGCAGTGCAATGCTTGAGCTGGTCCCTCACCATGCCACCCTGGAAGAGACTGTTTCTCTCCACCCGCAACACACCAGTGGCTCAGATGACAGCAGCACCAACACTGGTGGGATACAGTGGGTGGCAGAGGAAAGTGGCAGGCAGTGGAGCTGACCCCACATGTGCTGGCAATTCCCGTATGCCACTAGAACTGCTCTGTAAGCTCCTGCCTTCCCAGGAAGGTTTACTCCTGTGCTTTCCCCTTTGTCTCCCAAAACGTGTGGTTGCTGGCAAATGCTGCCATCTTGGTCAGATGCCATTTTTGCTTTGTCTCCTTACATGCCTGTGATGGATGCCATCTTGAAAGGGGTTCTTCACCATTTTGGATTTCTCTTTGTTCTCAGGCAGTTAATGAGATTTATCAATTTTGTATCTAGTGATTATTTACTGTTTTTTTTTTTTTCACCTATTGTAGTTTAACTTATTAGTAAACTGTTATTTTTTCACTTATATCTACTCAGACTTTGTTTCTCCTTATTGGTGGAAAGGGATTAATTAAAGCAATGGGGGAAAACTCATGATAGAGTGACCCCCTTTAAACTCCTGGTCTTAAAGCAAGACTCAGGTGTTTTTCTGCTTCTTTGGACAATTGTTGCATTGCAGCTCCTGTGCTACTTTCCTTGTTGTGTGTCTGTAGTTAATGCACACAGTGTATTGATTCTATGATCTGTGTATTATATAACATTTATTTTTATATCTGGGCAAGTGTACATTGTATTGAATCACATAACCATAAAAAACTTTGTAAACATGCTATGTAGTATTATCAGCACTGTTGGTAGACAGACCTAAATGATTCATGTATTTGTTAATCATTATACTGAGGAAAGTAAATCTATCCAAGAAACCCCACAGCAACATTAGTATGTGAGGGATGGGCCTAAATGTCTTTTCTCCATCAGATGAGAATACTGGCTTTTGTGTCCTGATGATTTTAAAGAAGTTCTTGGGAAATGTTGAACTGCTGCATCTGCTATTGTAGTATTAGCTGAGAGAGAAGGCTGATACCCTTGAGGAATGGAGAAATATTAGTTTGAGAGAAAGTAACTTCCCTGTGGGTGCAAAATGAATCATAGTAGCTGTCACACAACATTTGCAAATTGTTGTCCAACTCTGTTCCAGACAGAGCGGGAACAATACACTGGGAATTTGGGTACGTCCATGATGAAATATCTGTACTATTAGAAAGGAAGCATGGTAATAATTGTAACTTGTATCTTCCCTATCATCACCTCCAATTGTATGGTGGAGAGTACTGGAGAAGGACGTTTGGTTATTCCATTGCTTCTCTTGGTGTACTTGGCAGTGTACAGTCAGGTCTCAATGATCCTAAATGTCTTTTCCAACCTAAATGACACTGTGAAGAGAAAGTATTTTGCATGGATCCACATTTATACAAACTTCTAAGAAATCATGACCTTCACAGTGTTTTGAAAACTGAATACTGACCATGAGACTTAATGACAATTTTAATGAAAATTAGTGGAAGACCTGGGCCTAACATTGAACATGAAAGTATAAGGGCAAAGAAGAAGCCTGGTGCAAGAAGAGCTGCTTGCTGAAGGTTTGTAGTTAGGTACCCTTGTGTCTCTGGAGTTGGCCAGCATCTGTTTACAGAGCAGAGCAAACTAGAGCAGCTTCTCAACAGTTCTAATTTTCACCTTAGCTGCTTACCACACTGGTGTTGGGACATGAGAGCTGTGGGAACTGCACATTTCCCAAAGACTCTACAGATCCCTGCGGAGGAGAGGGATGTGCTGTACCAGAAGACAAATTTGTGATAATACTATGTGGCTTTCTTCTCTATGAAGAAACAAGGTAGTTGCAAATCCTTTTCCTCTAGATACAACTGTTTTGACAGAGACACTGAGGAGGATTGAGGTGCGCTGGCCCAGTGAGGATTTTGAATGTTCTGCTTTTATGGACTTCTTGCACTGGTAGTTGGTGGAAAGATTGGAGCCACAGTGTGAGCCATTTAGTGGGACTATTCAAGAGCTGGAATCAAGCAACTTAGTTTGCTCTAGAAAGCTCAATCTGTCTCAGATGAAGCCTTCAAGATCTTTATTTGCCATGGTTTATGTCACCAAATTTCAGAGTACATGAAGTTTTATATACACAAGATATTTGTGTATATAGAACTCTTGTTTTATTTGAGCTCTTGTTTGACTTTAGTGAAGTTTTCCTCCACTGAAACATAACAGAGAGGAAGTTAAGGCCTTTTTTTCCCCCTGTGGATTGTCTTATCACTGCTGTGCAAATGATAGACTATTAACTCAGAATGCTAGTTAGGTGTTACTTGCTTTTGTAGTTGACTGTCTAGAGGTTGGTCCACTGTCTTTAAACCTGGAAAAATGATAAACACAAATATTAACAAGAAGATGTTTTCCTTCAGTATTTATTACATTCCTATGACTGAGAGCTTAACTTCAGTAAAACTTCAATTTTCTGCTTTTTATATCCAGAAGTGTCTGGCAGCACTGTTTGTCCTATTCAATGTATAAAATAATTTTTTTTAGAATGGATTTATAGAATGGAGTGGTGAGTAGTTCTGCTGTAACTTAGGTGCTGTTGGAGAGGAAGGATGTGACACTGAAACCCTTAGTCTAGCTCACAGCAGTTCTTGATAAATCTTGTAGGTAATTTTCTTCATGAAAAGACTCTCTTACATATTTGCATATAAAATCTTTCCCTCCAGTTACTATGGAAGTCCTGAGTTTTGTTTTGTGGTGATTTTTGATTCAAACACAAGGTGCAAATAGGGCAGAAGGTAGAGACACCTGGCTGGAGATGAGGACCCCTATTCTCTTTGTGCTGGACCCTAGACCAAGAGCTGGTCCCCCTATCCATCTTCGGTGAAGGAAAGAAATGCAGTCAGGCCTCTTTACAGACAGCTGATGATGAGTACTACCTGCAAGGAGGGGCCTGAGGAATAATGTTGCCTCTGCTTTTTTTTTTTTTTTCCTCTCTAGTCTTTGGCCAATTATTCCTGCTCCCAGTGCCTCCTGAATTGATACAAAGGTATTGATTTAAAAATTTGGATTTTCTTGAATCCCTAAATTTCTAAAGAAATAA